TAAAAGGGAGGACTGATAAATCAGTCTGATATTTTTTAGTATATCATTATTAATAGTTAGCTTACTATGAAAATAAAGAAACTTGAGCCAGTTGATAGGCTAGTATACCATATTAACGAGATTAAAGATGCCAAAAATATAATAGTCATCTGAGTATCCTCTAATGGACTTTTACACTTCTAATCAATGGCCGTACCAATTCAGAAAAAACTAATGAGGTTCTTAATCTCATGCTCAGAATTAAGCTTTATCGAATGTTTAATAGAAAGAAAGAAGAATCGCGTTATATCAAAAATGATGATTTGCTATTAATTGGCCATCAACTCAAGAAGCTGAAATATTTGTATCTCAAATCAGTCTACTAAATAATTGCTAATAGTCTAAAGCTACATCATGAAAATATTACATTTTGAGCTTTGAAGCCAGATAAAATTCCCAAGGTAGATTCATTTTCTCTGAATAGGACTATAGTAGTTATATTTGAAAATCTATGTGCTAATCCAAAGAAAGTGCAAGAGAAAATTATTCCTTATTTCATCAAAGGGCGTTATTATAACATCAGTTTGATATATGTATTCCAGAGTTATTTTAACTACCCAAAGATAATATGAAAAAATTTCACACATATCTGCTTATTTAATAGATTGTGTACTACAGATGAGCTGAGCTGTATTGTGTATCAATATGCTAATAACTGGCGTAGTGTGATTAAAATTATCAACAAGCATTTATGTGAACAAAAATTCATTGTTTTTGATCTAACTGTACCTCGTGAACATCCATATAGAGTATATTTCAGATGGGATATACCACTTCTTAGTGAGAATCCAACTTTATAGATGCTAGCTCTTTTTTTACTTTCTGCACTTGCATCTTTAGATCTTTGATCTTGTAACACATTTTCTTATTTGCAGTAACCTGATCTCTATATTTCTTTTCTATAACGTACATAAATTTTCTAAAAGTTCATCTATTATAATCGAGCAGGTGCTGAAATAGTACTTTAAGCTCATTCATAACCTGACAATTATTCTCTTCTTCATAATTATGCTTTAGCGTCTCTGGTCATATATTACTATCAGTTTGGATTCCGTCGTCTATAATATGTAGAACAGGTAATATTAGGGATATGTTACATTCTGGCCAGTTCTAAGGATATAATAATTTTTCCTGAACCATATTTTTGCGTCTCCTATTTAATGAATTCTTATAAACCTCTAATGTATGTCTTAAATAAGATTCAATTCGTTCAGACTTTCCAGAAATAGATTCTAATGGAACAGGATTTTTAGAATAGTGCAAGAGTCTCTGACATACTCTCTTGACAAGACTTTCAGGCAGTCTATCTATAATATGTTTATAGTCAGAATGGAACATTTTATTAGATATAATTTTGCGCAAAAAAAAAGTTTGCATAGAAGAAATTCACCCCCTGGCATAGAATATAACATTAAAAATAAATTTACACGTCAATATCACGAGAGATCTACTAGTAATACAACTTTGATCAAATTACGTGTGCATTATAATTTCTAATGCTGATCACTTTTACTGGCTAGCATTAATACAGAATCATATTTTTTGCAGTACAGATAATAAATTTTTTACTAATTCGTTTTGCAATATTCAAAAGAAACAAATCACGTGTTTTCTGAGACTGCGCAATCCTACAAATTTGCTAAAAAAAGTTTTATTATCTAGCATATATCCCACACGAAAAAAATACAGAGAATATATAAAAATAATCAGCCACCAGGGCACTTTATTGATATAGGAAAAATAAAATACAAATATGATAGTTATCATAGTTAATCTAAAGAAATGTTTTCAAAAATTCGCACTATTTTTCTTGCTTAATCTTCCAGCTTTACATGAAGGAGGACTTATACTACTCATCTTTCTTGACCTTTTTTGAAAACTATTTACAATACTCTGTAAATTTACGATAATTCCATTCTGGCATTAGAGATTTTTGTATCAGTATTATTATATAACTAAGTATTTATTTAAAAATAAGGAAAACACTTACTCGCAAAACTAACAGAACATGAACGAACTCTTCGATTTCCTTAACTGACTCTTTATCAAAGGGTATTTTTGCTTTAACGACTGGAAGATAATATTTTACCTCTTTTTCCATTATTAAACCATAAATCTCTAGATATTTACCTGCAATATTAACCCTGAATCCTATATAATTTTGATAGAATGTTTCTTTTGTACATTTCTTTACAAGTTCTTTAATACCATCCAAATAGAGTTGAACTAATTTATTATGGTCATGGCAGATTTTATCCTCATTAGTATCCCATTTTCCACTTTCAAAGATAATGATTTTTTCCCACTTTTGATAAAGATAAGCACAGAACATGAGATCAGATTTATCTCTTCTTGATCCAGTTTTTTGCTAAACTTTGCAGTTTTTGCTGGCTTTACTTTAACGCTCAGCCCTAGTAACTTTAACCTTATAGTCTACAGGTAAATGATACATAGTTATATCTATTAATCAAGCAATGATTTCTACTAACGTATTTTCAGATCCTCCAGAAACTCTTTGAAGTGCGTTTAACTTAATCTCCTGTAAAAGTATATCAGCAATTCCACCAGCTATGTGTTCCTTAATATGATCATCTTCAATCTATTGATTATGTATTATAATATCTCTCAAAGGTAATACAAATTTTTGTAATTTATGAACTTCATTCCTCTTTGATATAAATTCGTTACATATTTTCTTTACTCTCACATCTTTGCTTAAGTTTCTTATATTAGCTTTCTCTCCCTATAAATATAAAAGGTAATTAATACATGGAAATGTAATTTTAGTAGCTAATTCATCAAGAAAAAAATAAAGGTATACATATAATAAGGGATTCATAACTACTTTCTGGTATATTATATTTTTCTGAACTAAGATCTATTATACCAATACACAGTAAATCATCATTTAATATTTTATTAATATCAATATTACTTATTGTCATAAGAATATGTTTGTGCGCTGATGTATCTTTTTCTAAATCCAATCGAAAAAAATATTTTATAGGAAAAGTTCAAAAAAATACAGGATCAAAATTTCTGATATATATTGGTTACCTTAATCTTATCTTTCAAAAGTGTTATATTTTTTAAGGCTAGAGTTTTCCAATTTACTTCTCTTCGAATTTTTCTCATAAAAACCCTATATCTTTTAATGAAACTAGCTCATTTCTAATAAATTGCATCTAAAAAATAAATGGATAGGTTAATAAAATTTAGGAAGATATCATTATTTTATTTTTGCGTAAAATCCCATTCTAATAAGAATTAGCTAGCATTATTGTCTTAAAAAAATCATCATTATAAGTATAATGAAAAAGATTCTCGCTAACAATATATCACTTTTTCAATCGCACTATACTTATTTTATTTAGACAACATATTCATCATGTTATTCCTAATGTGCAAAGAACAAAAATAATATAAATTACTTGATTAATATTCTGTAATGACTTAAGATGTTGTTTATGATATTCATTATTAACTTCATTCTCTATACTCTTTAGGATCTCTATAAGACAGTCAAAGTCTTCATTTTCTGATTAAATTTTAAAACAATTCTATTGCTGGATAATTATATTAGAAGTGATTATTTTATCAAAGGAAGAGGATTTTAAAGAATTGTATAATGGAGCAAACATTTCAGCTGATGAGCTAAACATAATTTACTAATTTAAGATATAAGAGTTTTTGTTAGTACACGTCTGGTAAAAAATAAGCAACTATAATTTCAAATTTCATATACTCTCCTTTTAAAAGATTTGCAATTTCTCATTCACGTCTTCTCTGAGCTCGAGTTTATGTTAGGGTTGAAGCAGGAGAATATATAACAAACCTTTACGCTAAAATTTTGTGTTTGAGAATAAGGATATGTGAAATGTACATTAAAGATCTTAACATTTTCAAAGGTGTTGGAGAAATATGCATATACATACTTTTTTTATTTCACTTGCCTAACCGTTTAATACTAATACCTAGCAACGTTATAGATATTATTTTACTTAGAATATTCCGTCCTTCTGGAGCAAATATACATATTAATAAATACTATTTTGCTAAAACTTATTCTGCTAAATATTGTAAGGAAAAAATTCGAAATATTTTAGAGAATCGATTTATGTATGAAATTATTTTGTCATATAAGCATAGTTTTACAGATGATTTGTAAAGTATCACCTATTACATCATATACACTAACGAGGATTGAAAAATGTGCTAATTTATGTCATACACGCCTATATGCATTATTTTATTAAAACAATATTCAAGATCTGGGTCAAGAACTGATCTGGAAAATTTGACGTACAAACTCACAATTATCATCCAAATCTGAGAAATTTACAGTAATATCTTTTTTCCAGTAAATATGATATATGTATTTTAATGGTGAATCGCATATAGGTTTTTCCATTCCTGATGATTTACTCTTATATATCTCGTATTCTGAAATTCTGATGAAGAATGCATAATTATATTTTTTTTTATGAATGCTACTATAATATTCAAGATTTCGTAGTCATTTTAACATGTTAAGCCAATACACATCTCTAACAACTATATATTCTTGCTGATATAATAATTTTTTAACAAGTATGTATGATACTATATCTAATCGTATTCATAATTAGGCTATCTTCTCATATATCCAATTATTTTTTACTAGATAACAACGTCTCTCATTCCTATAATATATATATTCTGATTGTTCTGATTCATTTTTTACATCTAATAACTTCTTATTGTCAGGAGTACTATCATTCTACACCATCTCCTAAACTTGTTTTGCCAAAGATTCAAGTCTTTTCTTGTAATTTCTATAAGCTTGCTGAATAAGTGTTGCATAGAAATTTTTAAAGCCATAATTATAGTAGTATTTAGAAATCAAGAATCCCCAAGATCGCTTTATTGATCTTTCTGAATAATACTTCATTATAAATTAGAAGATCTAACCTGAAATAGGCAAATCAAGTTTTTTATCCTGCAGATGATACATTTTACAATTATACTAGGCGATCATACATACAAATTATATAGCGTAAAAATAAAAAATGTTAAATGAACATAATTTTTGTCCATTTTTTAATCTTAATGTAGGCTAATTAAGATGGTTTATAGATGATTACTTTAGAACATTTATTATCCAATGATATTTCATAAAGTCTTCAGGTTTAACTTCATAACCATATCTGTGCC